GCATTATTATAATGTCGGCGGCATGAATTGAGAAAACGAAGTTGTGCGCTGATGTTTATAGAAACCGGAACGGACGTTTTGTAAAATGTATGCTCTCGAGTGAGATGCGTAATAAATTCTCGCGGAGTATGGCGGTGCTGAGAAAACTTTGAAAAAAAAAAAAAATTAAAAAAAGAATGGGATAAAAAATGAAACAAATATCGAAAACATCTTCGAGCGAGACGTCCCTGTCGCAATAATACCCTCGACCGTGGCGCGTAATCACAAAAGTATTACCCCGCGATCGACGGGGCTTTATTAAACTAACGTTATTAAGATACGTGCTATGAAATCTAAACGCGACGACAGGGGACTGAAAAAAAAAGAAAAAAAGCCATTATTGCTCAGACATAATAATAAGGAGACGTAATGTATATTTGTTTAAGTTTGAATCGAATGCCATATACACTATACATATATATATAATACGTACTAGGTAGGTATTATAATATTATAATACGACGTACCAATATATATTTATATTAAACCGTGTTTCGACGGAATCGCGGTTATTTCACGTTTATGGAAGTGTTTTCCACCGCTGAGAATAATATTTTCCATTATTTTGTTAGTCGATTGACACGGACACTCGGCATTAAAATGTTTGCGTTTTCTCTATTATTGTTTGCGATTGTTATTACTATCCATTGACATTTTGCCAGGGACTCGAACCTATAATATCCTGCTGCACCGAATAAATTACCTCTGGACGTGGAATCGTTGTTATTTATGATATCGCATTAACATTAATATTATGAACTTAGGCGAAATATTTTCGTTTAAGTTCGTGTAAATGTGTAATATAGAAGTATAACTTGGTTTTCGGGGAATATTATTAAGCTATATTTGCATAGAATACATAAATATAACAATATAGAAGTATAGGTAGGTACAATGTACATAACATATTAGGTATGACATATGCGTACATAATATTTTTAATATTGAGCATGGGCCCTGCTGTTGTAAATGACTAAACACATTGATATACCTAAACATTACGTTTTGTGAAGAAAAGCAAGTTATTGGTTCAGTTGATTCAATTCGACACTTGGAAAAATCATTAGATAATAAAAAATAAATTTAGTTTTTCATAAAATATTATGACGGTATAGCATTTTATAATATTGGTAATCAAAAATTTAACAAATTAGTTATTATAATAGGTATTATGTACTTATAATACAAGTCAACAAATATGGATTAATATCAAGCTGGAATGATTGTAAACGGTTCAATATATTATTGCACCTATATTAATAGGGAAACAAAAATCCATGAATTGAAACTTGTAACTAGTTTTTTTTGACAAAAACTAGTAAATTCCAAATATTTTGGGAAACTATAAAGGCATAATATTATTTTATGAACATTTTTTAGTACCGGTTATCGTTTACCGGTAACCGTAACAATTTGTTCGTTAAAATAAATCGTTAAAAAAACATAAAATAAATTACCGATTAAAAACCGATTACCGATATTTGTAAACACTGACTACAGTATTATGTAAGAATCACCAATTTAATTTTTTTTGGAAACATAAATAATGATGAACTTGTTACTTACAGTGGTATAATAGTTTTTTAAAGCTGTTTTGATACCTTTTATGTTTTTATTCTATTCTTGTAATATTAGTAGTTATAGGTGGTACTTTTATATTCTATGAATAACGTAGTACCATTGGTAGTACGTACCTAATATCATAAGTCACTGGTCGTATTTCGTACCTATACATTAGGAATATTAGTAATCAGGTAATCTAAAAATAGGTGGATTTCTAAAACGATAAAATTATCATAATGACAAATGAAAGGTTTCAAAGGCGCTAATCATTCTTTTTCCCTCACATTTGTTTTTGTTGTTTATGTTTTATTTTTTCTTGTAGTATATATTTATATATTATTATGCCCTAGGCCACAAATTGAACGTTTATAATAAAAAAAAAAAAAAATAATAATAAATCCATATATTTTATATACGTATATAAAAATGAATTGCTGTCCGTTAGTCGAGGTAAAACTCAAAAACGGCACGGCCGATTTGAATAATTTTTTTTTGTTCTATGCGTAATTGTCAAGGCAAGGTTTGTATGAAATATAGTCTTATGAAAATCTACCGGAAAACTAGAAAATCTGAATGGAAAATTGCAACAATGGCGCCATCTGTCCAGCAAAAAAAAAAAAAAATAAATAAACCTTTGTACCACCATGTAAGCGTGCACTAAGAAAGCATCTTCCAAAATTTGCATTTTAAAGTGGTGCTTTCACAAGTATTTTGAGATTCAAGATAATCAATTTTTAAGTTTTGAACACAGAAATTCACAGAAATTTATATAACTAATTGAACAAAGTTTGAATCACATAGAGTTGGAATTGTTAACGGGCAACGAAGGGCACGGGATGAGCTAGTAATAATAGTAAAATATCAAATATAAGCATGATAACAATCTTTGCACGTTTAGAATACATGTCAATTGTTATTTTCATTATATTATATCAGAAGTTTTTCATATGGATACATTTTTAAAAATCGTATTATATATTATATTAGGTAGATCGTAGATATACCCTTATGGTTGGATAAATTTGTTATGATTGTTCTGAGTAGTTCACACAATCACAATATATTTTATTTATATATTTGAATTTTAAATATAAGTGTAGTACACTTTTTAGTAAAAAAATGCAATCTATTTATTATTATTTCGTATACAATACTCAAGATGGTTGTAACACATAATTGAATCTATTCTGTGGTTTGCACCTATTATCTTATCCATTTTGTTATACATAGTAATATAAACATTTATTTTTGAATATAATTATTTGTTTAGAAACCTAGTTTTTAAACGGTTACCGTGACCGAAAATGTTTGGGAACTATATATGGTTTAAATGCTTAATCACGGTAATCTGCTACTTTAAATAGGTAATTACCGGTAATTGGTTACTGGCTACTGCTAGCGATAAGACCGGTTAAAAATCGGTAATAGGTAGTCAAGAATTTCTATATTATCAATTTTAAGCCCTGCAAAAATCAAAATATGGGTAGGTATATGTTTTTTTAGCTTTTATTGAGAAAAAACCACTGAAAATCAATTTTTAATTAATATAAATCCACTAAAATAATAGAGGTTTAAACTCTAGAGAGGAAATATTACACTTTGTGAAGATTAAAAAAGTTTACTTAACTATACATAGATATTTAAAAATTCTAAAAATATAAGAAACCAGACAAAGCTTAAAGTTTATATTATTTTTGCATAAAATATAATTTAGACTTGACATAAAAGAAAGAAAAATAATAATATTAACAACGAAATACATTGGTTAATGCCAACTATATAATTGAAAAATGTTTTTTAAAATAAAAACTTGAATAATAAATATTAAGAGTATTATGATCTCTAAACTGAGACGCATTTGTACATTCTTGGTAAAGTGTAACATGCATCATAATATTATCTATAACATCCAGAGTTGTATAGTCAGGATTTTAGGTTTGAGGAGAGGCAACATTTCTAGTTCAAAAAGCCTGAAATGTTATTTTCTCATGGTTTCCCATCAATTGTTCTTAAAGCAATTTATTTGAAATTATCAACGCATACTGCATAATTTTTTTTTTATGGACATTTAAAATTGAATATTTAGCAAACAATAATGATATATTTTACCGATATTCTAGTTATTATATTTAAAAATATTATTAATCGTGGAGTCTTGAAACTTTTCGTTATCGGCTTATCGTCGACATTGTTTATATACGTCGATGTTGACTTATACGTTTTTTAAATTTATGATTAATAAACACATCTATTACAGTGGCCTACACGGAAAAAAATGATTACTATATAATTGTAGTTGCAACATTTATAGTTAATACAACTATTTTGTAGTAAAGATTAATAAACGATTTTAGTAGATATGAATACAAAATTGTAGTTAAAATATTATAGTTACTAGTACTATAATTTAGTTAAATCTATTTCCATTAACTATTTATTTTAGTTAAAACTTGGTTTTATACAGAATAGTTAATTTTACTATAATTTATAGTAAGCATAACTGAAAAATATTGTTGTTTGTTTTATTTTTAAACGCGGTATACGTGATTCCCAATGTGTTGTTTTGTTATCGGGAAAATAGCGATCCGTAAGCTGCAGTCGTCATTGTCCATTTATGATCCTCTGTATTCGACATTCGTGTTATTTATATTATTTCTCACACACACCACAATTTATTTTGATTTTGGTCATTTTATACTTCTCATTTTAACATTTGACTACTTGACTGTTGAATGTTGTCAACGTTGATACTCATAAGTCATAACTCATTACAAACATTGTAACATTTACCTGCCAACTGTACTGGGGATTTTGGAAGTTTGGAGATTCTGTTCCTGAGGTAAGTCTAATTAATTTAGTTTTTAATTATTAGTTAGGTACCTGCTACCTATAAGTATGTAAATTAAAATACTGTCGATTTTAATATTTTTATTTTTTAATATTGCTGCAGTATAAAATAGTACCTATAATATAGGTATACCTATTAACAAGGCTGGATATTATAACTACCTAGTTAAAAATTAAAATGAATTTAAAACGTTAAGTTGATATTAACTAATTTGAGTAACCCATTACTTTTTTTTAAACTAACTTTTAACATATTTAACGTGGTAACTTAGTTAATTGTATACAGATTTATAAAAATTAGTTTAAATTTAAAATTGTATACAACCCATTAATTTATAACTTTGTTGGCTTGGGAACTATTAGATATCACAGAGGTTCTCTATGCCTCATCGGGTATATTAACTTAACTTAACGAGTTAAAAAAATCGTTAATTTACCCAGCCTTGCCAATTATAATATTCATATTGTAGCAATGTAGTTGGATAATTTCAAACAAAACACTGATGTCCAAATTATTATAGGACTTACTGTAATAGTATACTTTTTGAATTATGGATTCATACACTCAAGATATAATGAAACAATGGGGTTTTTCAAATGAAATAATAACAATATTTAAAGGTATGTGTATGATACTATAATACTATTATTATAATTTATAACGTAGCCATGTAGTTATGTTATTTAATTGCAATTCTTTAATTGTAGGTATAGTGTTATTATAAGCTAAAGGATTGTAATATAAAATATATCCATTGTAGGTAGGTATATGTAACTTGTAAGAACACCACATAATTATTATTTTTGCCATATTTATTTAATTTGTACAATCTGTATAAAATATATTTACAATAGGCACAATAGATGGAGGGATATATTATAGGTCATCGGTAGCTCGATTGAAGAATTGTTGATCTAATCAACAATTATATTAAAAAATCATTAATATATTCTATAAATATGAAATTGTAAATAAAGTTTTTTTGTTAATAAAATATTGACTATTATAATATTTTAACTAACAGTAAAATTATTCAATTTTGTATTACTGTGTACAAAATAAGCGCCAAGCGGTAAAAATATATAAGTCCCTAGTGACTAGATTTCTAGATAGGTATATATGTAGAATAAACACTCAAAAATTGTCTATTCAAATCTGCAAACTAATTTTATACATTTTTTAGATCAAGAAATAGATCAAGTAGCACTATTGAATCTTACTGAGACTATGATAATAGAGTTGTTGCCTAAAATTGGTCAACGATCTAGATTTTTAAAACATTTAGAAGATTTAAAAATACAAAAAGTAGGAAAAAAAATTTAACATTTCAAAACTTTTATCTAGCATATGTGTATATCATTTTTTTATTGTTATACCTATAGAATGTTTCTGTTGATTCTAAAAAGAAACATCATATAATTGACTGGGATAATTTAGAAATAGAGTTAGCTCCGATGGATAGCTTTGAAGATGTTAATTCTACAGATAACATAGTATGTGATACAATACCTGACAATTGTAATACTGCAGTCCAAGAATTCAAAGATCATTGTGGTAACCCCCTCAGTATTTAAATCATTTTATTAATATAATTTATACATTATGCTATATAGTATTACCAATAGTATTATATTCAATACTTACTATGTAGTATAGGTATTGGCATATTGTTTTCTTGATTTTACTTTTACTTTTCTTAAGTTAAAACCAAACGCTATTCAATTAAAATAGTAAATACCTGTATTTTAATATGTTTATGAAGTTCCAACTGCAGAATGCTCCTATACAACTACTAAAAACAATGATAATTCTTTGGCGCAACAGATAAAAACTATTTTATCAAAATACCAAGATGGAGAGTTTGTATTAGATTATTACAAACTTAAATCACATTTCAATGAGGCCATGCGAAATAAACTAGTTTCTGTAATAATAAAAGATCAAATTCGCTCCCAAGTCATTTTAAATAGATCAAGGCTTATAATTTTAGCAAAAGGTAATTTTGAAAGTTTATAAGGTATAACATTTTATTGTTATAATATTTTTTTTTCACTTTTGAGGCATTGAAGAATTATTTCCTTCTGAGACTGAGGAAACTTATTTCATACCGTACTGTAAAGAGGGTAATATAATAAGTCCCAATAGAGGTAAACTATATGGAAAATTTTGTAATATTAAAAAGGAAATCAGCAAGATAAGTAATGTAAAGAAAAGGCATCTATCAGAGTCTGATCAAGAAATAAATTTGAATCATGAAGGTAACATTAATTTATTGCTATTCATTTTTTTGTTTTTATTATTTCTATAATAGTATTGTTAAATAAAGGTTTAAAATAAGGGAATGGTAGGTACTAACCTAACCTATTTAATACTAATAAAAATCAAAATTATGCCTGTTATTGTTTTGTTATATAAGATTATAAAGACTCATTAACCTGGCTCAAAAACAATATAGAACCAGACATTACTCTTCATAAACTCTGGAAAGCAACAGCATCATATCGATTAAAAGACAAAAATAATAATATGATGGATACATATATAGCCCTTACCAAACCTACTGGTCATATTTTAGTTAGTATTGTATTTGTTGTATGATAAGCTTTGTATTAAACCCATTGTTTCATTATTTTAGATTGATATAGATTTTAACTATATGTATGCTGGAAAACAAATGAGTTTATTTGACAAATTTCCTATTTTCAAGGAAAAATTAAAAATATATTTGGAAATTAAACAAATTAATATCAGCAAAAATCTTATTGGCAAACTAACTGCTCCGCATAGACCTGGCATGTGTTGATATTTATTTACATGAAAATATGTTTCTGACTAAACTATATCCTGTATTTTATTTTTAGGTGACGACGATATTGCCGTGTTTGAAATTCTACCATATTTATTTCCGCCTGTCAGTATTATTGTTCTAAAGCCACCGAATAATACCCGTTGTACTATCAGGGCATCAAAGATAGAACAAGCAGCTGCATTTATTTCAAATGTTACGGTAAATATATTTATAAAAATAAATAAACTAAACTATATATTATATTATATATTTTTTTTTTCAGAATGCTAATGAATTGAAAAAAGTACAATCCGATAAAATTAATAAGGCATTTTCATTAGGCTTAACTGTACAGCCATTTGTGGTTTTTGTTGGTGAAAGTGATTTGGATGAAAACATTTCAAATAATCCACTATCTTACTATACAGTTATCAACGACACATATTTCAAGGTGGAAACAATTTTAAAAGCATTTGATGTATGCTTCAAAAGCTTCCATACACTCAGTTTGAAGTATCCCTTTGAAGCAGAGCAGGTATGGAGATTTATACAGGAATATTTTTATGAAATTCCAGATAATAGAGGAGAAAAAAAATTTTTAAGTGTTAAAACTTTAATTAAAGATTTAGATAACATGTAAGACAATAGTTTTATTGTTAAACGAATAAAGATTTAGTTTGAAAAAATTGTATTTATAATTAATAATAAGTACCACTAATCTCAATATGTTTAAATGTTTTTTGTGTGAATCTCAATTTGAGGTATCTAGCCATCTTTTAATACATTTAAATATTTATCATGATCTTAATAGCATAACAATATTTGAATGTAAACAACTAAATTGTTTCCGAAGTTTTGGATCAATAGATTCTTTTAAAAAGCATATTAATAGTCATACTTTAGTTACAAATAATATTGCAATTAATCAACAAATTAATGTTGACAAACATTCACCAACCATAATCACTAATATAGATATCAACTCTGAGGAAACAGTAGATAATATTCAGGATAATTTAGAATGTACATATTTCTTTACTCTTGAAAATTTTAAAAACATTTTACAAAAAAATGCAATTAAATTGGTCTCAAAATGGTATAGCAATAGTGCAATACCACGGAAAATGGTTCAAATCCTTCTTGATGATGTTCAAAACTTTAATGACTCGATTTTAATAAATATAAAAGACAAAATCCAAAATATGATTCAAAATAATAATTATGTTGATACAGTTAAAGATCTAACTCTAGTCTTAAATTCTCTTGAAACTCTTTCCCACTCTTTTGATAGTTTAAAAACAGAACATTTCTGATTACAAACTTTGGAAGAAATGGGTTTACTAATTCGGCCTAACCAAATTGTTATAGCACATAGGTTAGATGATCGACTTCATGATGGTATTGTTGTTTTAGAACCAAAACCTGTCAAAATAATTCTGACTCCTTTAAGATATATATTGAAAAAAATATTTGAACATTCTAACTTTTTCGATGTGCTATTGACTTACACTAAGGAACTTGAATTTTATAATGGTAAATTAATATTCAGTTTTGTTCAGTCGGAGATGTGGAAAGCAAAATTAAGACTTCACCAAAATAAAATTATTTTTCCTCTGTTCTTGTACTTTGATGATTTGGGTATTAATAATCCACTTGGATCTCATGCAGGAAATCAAAAACTTGGTGCTGTTTACATTTCCTTGGCTTGCTTACCACCTGAACTAGCATCTTCCTTAAATCATATATTGCTTGCTTCTTTATTTAAAACAGATGACAAAAAACAGTATGGAAATAATAAAATATTTAAAGATTTAATTTCAGAACTTAATTATTTAGAGACAACTGGGATTGAAATAACAATAAATAATAAAATATACAAAATATTTTTTTCAGTTGGTTTAATTTTGGGTGACAATCTTGGCTTACATTCTATATTGGGATTTGTAGAAAGTTTTGTTGCTAAATATCCCTGTCGATTCTGCAAAAGCTCTAGATCTGAATGTCAAAATCAATTAGTGCAAAATAATAATAGTTTAAGAGATTCGTTAAATTATAACTGTGATATTATCACTAATAATGTATCTCAAACAGGCATAAAAGAAAAATGTGTTTGGAATGATTTGAATTATTTCAGAGCAACAGACAACTATAGTGTAGATATTATGCACGACATGCTTGAGGGTGTTTGTAAATATGATATTGGGTTGATATTAAAATATATGATTTTTGAATTTAAATATTTTACTATAGATACATTAAACAATAGGATTGAAACATTTAATTATGGTCCTATTGATATCCGTAACAGGCCTACATTACTATCAACAGAAAATTTAAAACTAGGAGTTATAAAAATGTCAGCTGCAGAATCATTATGCTTCACTAGATATCTTGGCTTAATTATAGGTGATCTGATTCCTGAAAAATCTGAGGTTTGGTCTTTATATATTGTTCTTAAACAAATAATTGATATTATATTTCATAAATGGATCAGACAGCAGGATACGGTTTTACTTAAATGTTTAATTTCTGAACACCATGAACTTTACTTAAAACTATTTCGTATAGGACTAAAACCTAAGCATCACCACATGGTACATTACCCACTTATAATGCAAAAATCAGGACCGTTAAATATATTTTCTTCAATAAGGTACGAAGCCAAACATAAAGAGTTGAAAGATGCTGCTAATGCTATTACTTCTCGCAAAAATATTGCATATACCCTGGCTTTGAAACAGCAGTTGCAATTGGCATACAGATTATTATCTTCTGATAATAATTTGTATACAATTCCTATACAATTTGGACGTGTTTTAACATTAGATTCTTTCACATTAGATTTATACAATAATAGAATCAAATTTTTAAATAAAAAATTTAACTTATGTGTTGATAATATTACATTTGTGTCCTGGGTGAATATCAAAGGTTCAATTTATAATTGTAAAAATATGTGTGTCGTTGTTTCTGAAGATGAGGGTGACACTATGATGCCATCTTTTGGTTTAATTAAAGACATTTTTATAACTGATGAAAAACATTCATTTTCCATTTGTGAAATGTATGAAACTATATATTTTGATGACCACTTTCAAGCTTTTAATGTTGTTAAGACAAATAATTTAATATGTATTTCTTTGGAGAAATTGGGTAGTATATTTCCTACTCATGCCGTTCATATATCTGGACTAACATTCATACCAACAAAATAAAATATGTATGTTGTATTTTTGTATCATTTCTCTACCTATTTCTAAGAATTATTATAAATGTACCAATGTATACAAAAACCTTATAATAAGTTAATTAATATATTTTTTCATTTGTATTAATATTAACTGAAATACATTGTTATTACCTAATTGTATTTTAATAAAAATAAACATTAAACATGTTTACATTTACCTCTAATTTGTTTAATTTATTTATTAATTGTAATGGTATATATATATCATATCAATTTTGTATTAGCCACTATAAAATATAGGTTGATTAACTACAACATATAGTAGTTTCTACTATAAGGTCGTTAAAGATTTAAAAGTTTCTAACTAAACCGTATAGTAGAAGCTACTATAAAATGTAGGTTGATTAACTAAAATGTATAGTATTGAGTACTAGAAATTCATTAAATATTTAGTATACCTAACTAAATCATATAGCAGAAGCTACTATAAATGTTAGGATCATCAGCTAAACAGTATAGTAGGAACTACTATAAAATGTAGGTTGATTAACTAAAATGTATAGTATTCAGTACTAGAAATTCATTAAATATTTAGTATACCTAACTAAATCATATAGCAGAAGCAACTATAAATGTTAGGAACATCAGCTAAAAGGTTTAGTAGTTCTTACTAAAAAGGTATTGCAATGTTTTAGTTGTCACTACTATATTATAGTTATCATTGCTATAATACGATAACTATAATAATATAGTATTATCAACTAATATTATAGCTGTCCTATATATAACTATAAAATATAGTTGGAATAATTATAATAATAGTAACATCAACTACATAATTTTTTCCGTGTACACAATGACATGGTAGTCTCATATTTGATTTTGATAAGGCTTTTATAGTTTTATGGATTATCAATACACATGGCGTGACAATAGACATACTTAATAGGTACCTGAGTATTACATGCATGTAGGTGTGACACGTAATAACTTACGATAGTAAAATAGAGGGTCACAGCTCACCATTTACCACTAATAGCAAATATGTATAATTGTATAACTGTAAACTTGAGGTTACAGCTAACAGTTAGATTATTCGGAAACTTACCAAGTACCTATCCTATATGAAAATAATATTTATAATAAATAATATTCATTTAGAATACATATTTGAAAAACCAAGGCTCATTTGAGGAGGGGTTAAATACCATATGCCCCGCTTTACAGTCTACGTCACCGCAGAACAATGATCATTACAGTTTTATTGAGAAAACCTACGTTTAATAGATAAAAAATAAACCATAGATTCATATTGTACAGTGGGGAAGAGTCATAGGAGACAAAGAGACAACGTCTCCCCACTTAGAAATTAGAACACGGGACAAATAAAAAATTATTATTTTGTTTTATAAAATATTTAAAAATGTGAATTTTATTTTATGTTGTAAAATATATGAATATTGTGATGTATGTTTCAGTATTTTTTAAAATCGGTTTTTCGTTGTACCTAGTGCTGTACAGTTATAGAATTCTTAAAATATAATATTAGAAGTGCGTGATACGGCCGTGCGTACGAGCTAGAGATACTGGTCATTACAAATATGGCATTTTATATAAATGTAATAGACGCTGCGACTCAACGTCTCGCAAATATGGGCTTACGGGTGCAGGGGGAATGCTAATGTGAGTGGGGTTTACTATGGACGCTATGAGGCAAGTCTCTCCGTTCGTAATTACACCTCAGTCCTCAATATTTACTATCGACGTCGCCGTTGCATTGTCACGCTTTCGTACACACTCAAATATAATGAGCTAACGACATTGTTATGACGGTGCTGCAAAATATCGGTTATAGGGACTTAATAAAAAAAAAAAAAATCCAATAAACCTGCTTGAAAACGGTTGGGGAAATATAGTACAATATTTTATTTTATTAATAGATCGATTTTCTATCGTATTTCTCGTACCTCTAATTCAAAGCGATATTCCGACATAATGTTGTGATGCCTTTATGGCTAAGTACCCAATATGCATGTTATAAATGAAAGTTAACTCTAATAATTGGTTTCAAATGATAAGCTATGCTACATTATACCTAGTACCTACATATTATTTTAATATTATTGATCGGTATTGTTCAAGAGAACGACGACACCCAATAATAATATTATACATTCATACCGTCCTGTCTGCGAAGCGTATATACAATATCGGTGGTGCCTAAGCACAGACACAAGTGTTTTCGAGTGTTTGTACCTATGTTATACTTACATCATTTATGACATGACGCCATTGCGACTTACTCGTCGAGTAATAATAATAGCGATAACTTCCAAATGAATATAATACGAATAATATTTCTTTTTTTTTTCATTTTGAGGTGGTAAAACAGAGTGTTTTATTAGGATAAATGTGAATCCAAATATAGATTTAGAAGTCTCAACATATTTTATACTAAACGAAATATACCTTAACCTATAACCCATTGCGGTATATTCAGTTACATTTCGTTAGAAAAACTCTAGCAAAAACATCAATAACTGAGTTGTACACATGTCAATATTTTATATACAAGTGAGCCAATAAATTAGGTAGACATTTTGAATAAATCATTAGGTACGAAACATTTTTTCAGCGACATTACATACATATAAAGGCATAGGTATTCTATAAATCCATCCTGAAAGTTAAAAAATCTCTAAAAAAAGTAATTTAGATTTAGCCAATACAAAATATTACTAAATAGTATCTATATAAATTATAAAAATCAATCTTATCGTTAGATAATAAATTATTATGATCTAAATAATAAATAATTTCCATTGAGTTAATAATGACATTGCTTAACCCAACTGATATTTGAGTCTTGACCATCAATGTTCTACAAATATTCTGTGAATATTGATGTTTTACTGATATACTAATGTTTCGGTTTACTAAACATGTGTACAATACAGAAAAAATTCAAAAAATATAATTTTTATTTTTTAAATTTTATATAAACGAACTGTATTTATGTTTTGAAGGTATAGTATGCAGCTTGGTTCAATATCAAAAATGATGTTAAGTATAGTATAATTATTAGTTATAAATGTGCAAGTCACGACGAATGGTAGGTACGATAGATTTATTTAAAAAAATCAAATAAGACACTATTCTTGAAAGGGTGAAATTTAAATACTTCAAGTCTTATCTGCCCAATAAATATTTAAAAGTGAGTAAGATAAAAATATTAAGATCATCGAATATGAACTATAATGAAGAAAAGGAAAACTGTTTTATTCGTATTGTTCTGTAGTCATAAGTACCTAACTACGTGACTTATGAAAAGAAAGTATAACGGCGACCGAGACGAGCTTCTAAATTTCAAAGTTGTCGTATTTTCAAGATTATTTCTGAAAATTCTAGGTCATAATATATTATGAAAGTTTAAAGACGTTATTTAATTTTGTAGTTTGTAGTTTGTCGATAGTTTTTTTTTTCATTTAATTTTATTTTTTATAAGGACTGAGTTTGTTTGTAAAACCCAAAACCGAGGATTTAAAAGGAATTTAATTTTTAACTTGAGTCGAGGGTTTCGTTTGTTCGTTTTCCCCTGCGAAACAATACTCGACGCGTGCGGTGTTGATACAGAATTTCCCGGACAGTTGAAAGAATGAGTCCTGACCAAAATTGCGAATATAAGAACAATGAAAAGTTCATGGGCGTTTTTACGAGAAGTTTCAAAATAAATCACCCTACACAGACGTGGGATGAAATCCTTCGCAGCGAGGCCAAAGGCCGTATAATATCGCCGAGTCGTGATAATGTTTGCTCGCACTTTCACGGACTGGCGCTGTAATAATATTATTATGACGTTCAAAATATGTTCATAATAATTGTCAGAACGATTTGTGTCAACACCTTGACTGCCGGGTAAGACGTCACGCGAGTGCAGTCCACGAAATCAAATAAAACTTGTCGAAAGGTCCGGCGAATGCTAATAATAATAAATAATAATAATAATAAATACGTCGTAAAAGGTTTAACGCCAACATGTTATTAAATTACCAGCAGATGATTGTGTTTATGTGCTATTTAGAGAGAGAGAGAGAGAGAGAGAGAGAGAGAGAGAGCGAGAGAGAGAGAGAGAGAGAGAGAGAGAGAGAGAGAGAGAGGGAGAGAGAGAGAGAGAGAGAGAGAGAGTGTGTTTCGAGATTGATTTGTCGTATACATTTAACAGGGTCGGACTGTCGCCGAGTGGTAAAATAGACATAGGTTTGTGTTCGTAACAGTGGGTCATAAAACGAGAGTTGGTGCAGTGGAGTCGACGGACGACAACGCGTGGGCACGCTGTGACCGTTAAAAAACTTATTTAGACCATTCGGTCGTAAAAGTCCGGTTGCAAGACCCATCATTATTATTATGGTTATGGGTATAAGATTATACGTGAATTCGTTCGCCGTTTTCAATACGGTTTATTCATAAAATCGTAATAATAATACCTAATAAAATATAATAATATATATACAAGCCTGGATATTAAGCAGATGCGGGCAATATCATTATTGGCCTCCTAAAATCTAAATCATTAATGTCCTTAGATAAATATAATAAATTCAATGGATTGCATCAATTGGTTGGAAATCAGTATCGTGTCTACTCGTACCTCGCGGGCCATCGAGTCTATTTAGTACCAATGTTATCGTTATCGCTCGTCAAGTGGCTGCAAACATTTTAATTTAGTTTTAATTAATCTTTATCGGGTGCTGAACCGTTGCCATGAGCGTGCGTTAGGTATACACAATGATGGGCTTCGGGTTGTTAACACAAGTATTATAATATACCTAAAATACAATAAATATTTTGCCGAAACGCCGCCGAGTGCTATATAGAAACTTTATAAATGTCCTCCTTAATCCTTATTATTATTATGACGGCGACGACGACCATTTAATGATACGTTTCGCTCACCAAACGCACATAATACACTTAACGTCGAGCGTCGTAGTCGTCGGTGCCCTTCGACATAACGGGGTGCTCTTC